AGAATTCTGAAATTTGGAATGTGTCACTGATGGAGTACAGAGTAAATATTTCAAAGGGTATTGAACTTACAAGTTGTGCAGGAAGGTCAGTTTTTGTGCGTGGGCTTGTGATAAGGCTGGGTTTTTGGAAATTCATACTAAAAAGGTCTAAAATGTACGAAAATCACTTAAGTGTAAATGTAGTGGAACGAGCTATAATTTTAAAATGTTGAATGAGAGTCACTGACGATGTGCAGGATAGATATACAGAAAGGTTTTGGAAAATCGAATTTTAAGATCTTGCAGGAGTTTCGACCATGGTGCGTAGGCATGTGATTAGGCTGGGTTTTCAGAAATTTGTATAAAACTGTACAAAAAGGACTAAAATTTACTAAGAATTAAATACTTTGTATTGGACAATCGGAATGAGCTAGAATTCTGAAATTTGGTATGAGTCACTAATGGAGTGCAATTTACAGAGGTTTTTTTTAAGAAATTCGAACCATACGGGTTTAAAAAGTTCTAAACTTCTAAAATGGATAGAACTAAAAACTTGGAATTTGGAATGAAAATCGTGGTTAGAATGTTAGTTTGATATTTTAAGGGAGGTTTGAAAATGCTATTATACCACAAGCGCACGAAAAGTACTAAATAGTACTACATTTGGTACAAATTGGTTTAGGGTGAACGGATGAAGCTGGCATTTTGAAGTTTTGTATTGGGGTCCCTGTGGATGGTTGGTATGTGATAAAGAGGTGGTTTTGGAAATGGGTACTGCACGTGCACGAATAGTACTAAATAGTACTATATTTGGTATTGGATGAACAAATAGTGCTTGAAATCTGAAATTTGATTTAAGGTCGCTGTTTATATGTGGCCTGAACATATGATGGTGGTTTTGAAATATGATATTAATGCGTAGTCTGGACATAAGGAAGTGGTTTCGGAAATGTGTACGAAAAGTTCATAATAGTACTATATTAGGTACATTTTGGAATTAGGTGAACAACTAGTGCTTGAGATCTGAAATTTGCTTTACGGCCTGGACATATGTTCTATAATTGGGATAAGCATTTAACATTTTTACGAAAAGTACTGAAGGGATAAAAATACATTTCTGAAATTTGATATAGGTGGCAGTGTTGGTGTCTCTGGTTAAGATATAGAGTTGGTTTCAAAAGTGCGTCCAATATTTGTAAGAAAAGTACTAAATGTTACCAAATTGGGTATTGGGTGAAGAGATAGGGCTGGAATCATCAAATTTAACATTGAGGTCTTCAGTTGGTATCTGGAATTGAGATATTGAGGTAGCTTTGGGAAAAGTACTAAATATTACTAACTTTGGTATTGGGTAAAGGGATAGAGTTGAAATCCTGAAATTTAATATGGATGTCACTGTTGGTGTTCGTGGTTGAGAGGAGCCGGTTTTCGATATATATACTAAATTATACTAAATGGTACTAAATTTTGCAAAGGGGAAAATTAAAGGACTGAAATCCTAAAATTTCCAAATATCAAGGCCATATGCCTACAGAGGGTATATATCATTTGATACGGTCAAAACGATCCTCACCGAAATAATGGTTTTAGACTCTAGATCTCTTTGGAACTAAGTTCAGCGCATTAAATTTTGCAAATCTCAATATTTGCATACGTGTTATGTCAGTTGCGAAAGTGGACATTATCGATCCACTCCTTTAGGTATCTCCCCCACAAAGGGTCTACTTTTTGAATAATTATAAATCATATAAAATGTAAAATAAGAGTCAGATTGTCTTCAAATTTCGCACATATAAATATTTCTAGATCGGCTGTGAAGAACTGTTAGAACGGACAACTCCTTCTAGTACCTCCCCTAAAAAAAATAGTTTACAATTTTGAAAAACGCGAAATAAACATTTTACTTTCTTTAAATTATACTTGTCGCATAATTTCTAACAACACAAGATCTGGTGTGAAGATGGGATATATCGGTATACTCCTTCTCTTACCTCCTCTACAAAGGAGGAGATCTCCCTACCATAAATAAGATGTGAATATGGAACTTATTTGCCCAATAATTCAGGTTCCCCAAAAAAAGTTAAAATTTTGGATTTTCTTAAAATTTTGGACCTTCCGATATTTTTATCACTATATCTTCTACTTCAGGCATATTTTAATATTTTCGAAAATAATTTTGTCAAACTTAGATCGAGCTCGAAGTCAGGTCGTATTCGCACATTACAATATTTCTCTAAATATAAGATCGACACTGGGAAGGGGTATATGGGCCCATTTATTTTGCTACCTCTCCTACAACAAAAGGCCTTATCAAAGCTTATTTTATCTTTTAAAAACCTTAAAAATACCTTTTTTTATTGAACGTATTCCCTCCCCTGAGTTCCATTCCAATATCCATTACAAAATAAAATTTGTTTTGCATGTAGGTGTAAACTAATTGTTCCAACAAAAGGACGACACAACACTTGTGTTTTTTTCCGGCTGATGTCATTTTTCATCATCAACTCGTGCTTGTGTTGACACTTCCATTTTTAACCACCAGCCGTGGGAGTGTCAATTGTCAACCGGGCGCAAGGTGTCGTCTGCAATTGTTCTAATTGTTTAATCACAAGTCACAATAAGGATGTTTATCTTTTTCTATTTTTTAATGGCAATTGTATAATTTATTTAACAAAAAAAAAAAAAGAGAAAATGTATCTCTATCTTGATAGCAAAACAGAATGGTTTTCAAGTTTTAAAAATAAAACTAAGCTAAATATAGACGTCATATAAACAGGCATTGGCGTAATTAATTCATTAGTGCTGTATAAACACACAGCGGTGAATGTTATTAACAATTATAAAAATATTGCAGTGAGAGTATATTTAAATATCTTTTCTTTATTTTTATAAATTTTCCACTTGTCTATAATAAACAAATGAAGATAGGAACAGCGGAGTGCAACTGCTGTGTTTGAACAATTAAAACGGGAAGAGAGAGTTGTCAAACAAAAAAAAAAAATATTTTGACAAGAAATATATATTTTAAAAATTTTTGATGAAAGTAAACAATTATAACAACAATTGGCAAATTATTTATAGACAATATTTAATGTACTTTCATCAAATTTTATTTAAAAAATTATTTTAAACAAAATTCAACACGAAGAGATAGAAGACATGTCTAATACACATATAAGAACTTTGACAGGTCTTTGACAGTATAGAGGCCTTTCATAGACCTTCAACAGTAACAGATCTAAGGCAGTCTTCTTCAGATAAAATACTCTTGAAAGGATTTCTAGAGATCGAAGAATTGAATCAGTTGAGAAAAGGTCTCTCAGGTGTTATCTATAGGGAAGAACTTTAGTAGGAATTCTTCGAATATAAGATATTTAATGGTACTTCCAACGATAGAAGACATTGTGTTCCAGTTCCTCACTATAGAAGAGCTTTGTTTCCATAGAAACATAGCAGGCCTCAGCAATGATGCCTGAGGCATTTTTTTCTATAGAAAAAAATCTGGCTTCAGGAAAGGACGATTTTTTTCTATAGAAAAAAATCTGGCCTCAGCATTTGAGGCATTTTTTTTCTATAGAAAAAAATCAGGCCTCAGCATTTGAGGCATTTTTTTTCTATAGAAAAAAATCAGGCCTCAGCATTTGAGGCATGTTTTTTCTATAGAAAAAAATCAGGCCTCAGCATATGAGGCATGTTTCTTCTATAGAAAAAAATCAGGCCTCAGCATTTGAGGCATTTTTTTTCTATAGCAAAAAAAAATGGGAATCAGCATTTGAGGCATTTTTTTCTATAGAAAAAAATCAGTCCTCAGTTTCCTGTGGCCTTTTTTTTCTATAAAAAACCCCAGTCCTCAGATGCCTGAGGCATTTTTTTCTATAGATATAAATCAGGCCACAGTTCCCTCAGGCCTGAGTAAATGAGGAATTTTTTCTCTATAGAAAAAAATCTGGCCTCAGTAAATGATGAACTATTCCCTACAGAAAAAAGTGAGTCCTCAGTAAATGAGGCATTTTTTCTCTATAAAAAATAGGCCTCAGCACATAAGGCATATTTTTCTATAGAAAAAAAAACGGGAAAAAATTCAGGACTTTTTCAGGCTCCAACGGAATTTTAATAAGGACTTCTATAGAGAGCAGATGATTATAATATATGTTTTTGGCCAATACGAGCCGTAATCAAAAGAGATGAGCTATTTATAGGAGAAGTCTTCCTATAGAACACCAGGAAATAGAGAACAAGGTGGTTTTCTTATAGAACGCATGGAGGTCTTCTTAAATAAGTCCTGGAGCTCTTCTTATATAATACCGGGACGTCTTCTCATAGAAGACCAGGACGTCTTCTCATAAAAGACTAAGAGGTCTTCTTATAGAAAAAAAGACGTCTTCCTACAGAAGACCAATATGTCTTCCTATAGAAGACAAGGATGTCTTGTAGACCTGGGGGCATTATTATAGAAGACCATAGAAGACAAGGAGGTCTTCTTATTGAAGACCTGGAAGTCTTCTTATAGAAGACCAGGAGGTCTTCTTATAGAATATCAGGAGGTCTTCTTATAAAAGAACTGATAGTATTCTTATTGAAGACCTGGACGTTTTGTTTAAGAAGACCTGGAGGACTTCTTATAGAAGACCAGAAGGTCTTAATATAAAGGACCAGAAGTTCTTCTTATAGAAGACCAGGTGGTCTTCATATAGAAGACCAACAGGTCTTCTTTAAGAAGAACAGGAGGTGTTCTTATAGTAGACCAGCAGGTCTTCTTTAAGAAGAACAGGAGGTCTTCTTTAAGAAGAACAGGAGGTCTTCTTATAGAAGACCAGGAGGTCTTCTTATAGAAGACCAGGAGGTCTTCTTATAGAAGACCAGGAGGTCTTCCTATGGAAGACCAGGAGGTAGATTTAATAACTAATAACCATTCAAACGACATCAAATACAAAATTAAGATTTATTATAACGCTCATGAGCCCTCATTTTATCTTAAATTTCGAATTTTTAATAAATTTTCGTCCAAATTTCCAACTTACCCGACATAAAATGCAATAAGATCGATACAATTGGATACAATACTGGACTGTAAGTAATATCTGGACAATCATAGCCCAATACATTAACAATACGATCGGCTACCGCTCGACCGGTGCGTGTTAAATGATAGGGCAGGCAATGGGTTGCATCAACAAATGCTGGTAACATAATGGGCTTCTCCGACAGTTCTGTGGTACCGAAAACCTGGGGAGGAACAGAAAAATAAAAAATTAGAATTTTCGAAGCTTTTTTTTCGATATCTTAAACTTACCTGATGAACCATCTCCCAATAGAAACCCTCAACCATTTGTGGCTTGGTATTGTGCTGGGCACACAGTGCCGGCCATAGCTGGGATCTAATGGGCGAATTGATGGGCCATGAGTTTTCCCGTAAAATACTTTTCACTTCACGTTTTTTGCCCTGATCCAGCAGCTGTTTGATTTCGGTAAAGGAACGCAGTGCCGGTTCTTTGCCTGGAAAATGAGAGAGAGAAATATTAGTTATGGAGAAAAATTAATGGAGAGTAAGGAAGCTCGTTATAGAGAAAATTTGTGAGAATTGTAAATATTAAAATCCCTATAAAAAATGGGGGTAATATCGACCCATTTATTAAAAATTTTTTGAGATCGAAAGTGTTTTGGGAATTTTAATTGGACTTCTTAATTAAAGACTTCTGAAGATTTCTGAATTAAAGACTTTTTAATTTGTAAATTTGATTTCCAACCACTATAACCTTCAGGACCTATTATAGACTTATCCCATAACAACCGATTAATAAATATTTTTTTATTTATTTTATTCATTTATTTAATTATTTATTTTTTTTTTTGTCTAGGAATTTTTATCCCGCTCATTACCCTGCGAAAATATTGTTAAAAAATATTTACAATTCTATCCTTAATTCTTGAAATCCTATTAGAATATAAATAAGTTTTAAATTGACTGAGAACCACCTTAACCAGTGTACTCAAGCTTTGACACCCTACCCCTCTCCAAAACCCAACCTAGCCCAATAAGAAGTCATATTACCCTCCGTCATATTGTTGTTTTCTAATTCCTCTCTTATGTATATAGCTTTAGCTTAGGTTGTTGCTTTTTTTATAGCATCGGTATGTACGTGATTTGTGGTTATATGCTTCTTAATCGCTCAAAGATAACAATTTTATTTTTTTATTGCACTACTCTACAAAAGCGATTAACGTTCCCCACACACAAAAAGAGCGCACAACTCATATGGGGCTTTCACATGGGGTTCTAGGGGTCTGGGGGTCTTATCAGTCGCATTGTGTTTTTATAGATTTCATTTGTTCTACATTCAATGTCTATCTCTTCAACACTCTGTTTCAAAATTGTTGTGATTTGTTTTTCGTTCATTCTTCAGGTCGTCGTCGTCGTTCAGAAGTTATCTATGCTCGTCTCGTGACGCAGTCGAACTCATCAACTGAAGCAAAAATTCCAAACAATCAACAGTTGTTGTTGTTGCTGCTATTGTTCTTTCGTGTCTAACAGCTGTTAAGATTAAATGTTTACGTTCAATTCGATAATCACTTTTGGAAGATAATCACCGATTTTTTTGATGTTGCGCACGGGGTTCTTAAAATCTGATTGGCATCATAGATTTCAATTTGTTCAGGGGTAAGGCAAACAATAATGTGCATGCTAAGGTGTGAATGTTTTTGAACTATAAAAAGTTAAATGTTTTTCGGGTAAAAAAGCTATTGAAATTTTTTTCAAATTCAAAATTAAAATTTAAGTAAAATAGTTTGTACATACATTCCTGTAGGGCGGATTGTATTTATAATAATCATACGACCTCAAGTGCATTTTGAAGGCAAAATTTTTTATAAAAACTTTTCTATTTTAGAAATATTTAAAAAAAGTAAAAGAAACTTGGCCAGAAACGGATGATTGCTCTTTGCAGAAGAACAAATCAATTATACGCCCTCCGAAATCGATTGGTTGAAGTAGTACCATACGTCCTGATGAAGTATATAAATAACAATCATACGCCCCAACAGCGTTTTTTTATTTTTTATAAAGAAAATCCGTCGCCAGGAAACAACGACAGATTTGTATCGGTAATAATTTTTACCAATCGGTCCCCAAAAACCGAAAAATTAAAATAACTCATCCGCCTTGATGCAGTGTATTAATAATAGTCATACGACCCATAGGGCGTTTTAAACACTGGTTATCATATAAAAATGTTATATATTTTTTGAAAAACCCCGTCCTCTAAATATGAACATTTCATTTCTACCAAATTTTAATGTCACATATTTTCTGACCCAAGTCTTATATCTATAGTAAATAAATGGCCACATTTTTCCAAAAATACAGGCCTGCGTTTTGGTATAGCCCTCACATGAATACATTCCCTGATTTCAGCTTTTTCCGGAGTCTTGGCCACATTTGTCAATTGATTTAGTCCTTATTTGGTATTTTTGTTTCTAGAGGGTTTGAAAACCTCTTCGCAGAAATCGATGTATTCGAAGTAGTGCCCGTGTTAAGATACCCCCTCATTTTACCTATTTCGATGGTCTTGACCATATTATCCAATCGATTTGGCTAAAATTTGTTTAAGCTACTTTGTGGGAAGAAAACCATCTTACAAAAAAATGTCAACATCAATATATATTTCGGTATAATCGCTACATAACCACAGTATTAACCACAAGTCTTAAAAGTTTATATTTTGAAAATCCAAGTCTTTTTTCTGAAAGACGTCGAAGAACATTCGTTAACAAGTCTACACGGGGAAAGTCCCTTAACAATATTCTCAAAACATATCTCCCTGAAAGGCTTTGAAGAAATAATTTCAGAAATTAGGCCTTTAGAACTGTTTAAAAAAGATTAAGAATGGTAGTACAAACGTCTGCAAAAAAATAATGAAAATTCACCATTTTTTCGCTGAGAGCATCCCCAAAATGTTTGAGAATAGGGACTTTTTATACCCTCAGCCATGTGGCAATATGTGCCTCATCGAAATATCACTTTAGACCCAAGGTCTCATTGAACCAAATCCGTTTCAGGATATTTGGACTCGATCTAGAGACGTCCGTCCGTCCGTCCGTCTATCTCTCTGACTGTCTGGCACCATCCAAAGAAGAGAGTATCCGATTTGGTCCAAACTTGGTTCATCGTAATATTATTATCAAACTTAGATCGAGTTCAGAGATGTGTAACATCGATCCACTCTTTCTGATACCTATCCCACACAAAGGGTCAAAATTTTGAATGTCCATGAAACTCATAAAACGTCAAATTAACACCCGATTCCATTCAGGCTTGACAGATTCCAATATTTCTATTAATACAAGATCTGTTATAAATATGGTAGAGATCTGACCATTCGCTCAGGTACCTCCCCCTCTAAGGGTAAAAAAAGAAACAAAATATTAAAATGTTTACACTGTTTTTGATCCAAAGATTCCTTAAAAATATTCTGATTTTATTTATAACCCTGAAAGATATGCAGAAATATTCTTCCAAAATCTACGACTATAGCCTTGAAAGGTCTGGCTTTTTTAAATATGCACACAATTTTCCTGAAAAGCTTCAAAAATACACAAATGCATTAAGAAATATATACTTTGGATGTCTAAGTATTCTGCCCTGAAAGACGTAGAAAAATATTCTTTTTACAATACATGTTATATGCCCAGAAATATCTTGAAATATATTTTAAAGAAATAATTTTAGAGAATTTGGAATATTCTTCAAAATCCAAAATATTTGAAAAAGTTCTGCGGAAAATTTCTTAAAATATCCATGAGCAATTGTCTGAAAACCCCTTAAAAAATATTCTTAAAATACTCATGATTGTTGGTTTATTATATACCCAATTATTGACCGGAAGGTCCTTAAAAAATGTTTATTTTAAACAATACAATATTTCAATGCACGATTTTTGATCCGAAAATATCGCAAAAAAATATATTCCCAAAAAGAAATAATTATTTGGCTGAGTGACCTCAATAATTGTCTTAATATCCACAATTATTAGTCCCCTAAAAGGATGTTTAAAAGTGTAATCTTTACCAATGAAAGATTCCTTTAAAATACTCATAAAAAATCACAAGTCATAGTCCGAAAGTTTCTTTTAAAAAAAATCTACCAAAATACCTTATTATAGCTATTCTGAAATCTTGTACTAAAATCCAAAACGATTCTCAATTCTGAAATCTTCAACCATTTAGAAAATTTTCCATAATTTTCCTAAACCACGATAAAAAAATATTCTTCAAAAATTTACATGTAGTCTACAAAATCCTTGAAAAATTTGAAAAAAAAATCAAAATTTCTTAAGAAGAAACATCTTGAAAATATTGACAATAAATCTTGGTTTATTGTCCTCGAAATGGTGAAAAAATATTCTTTAAAAAAATCACGCATAAGGACGGGAAAGTTACGAAGAAAATGTCTCAATAAATCTACGATTTTTGCTTGAGAGGTCTTTTTTAAAATTCAATAAAAACCCGAAAAGCCTTGAAACCGTTTAAGATATACACTAAAAAAATATATTTATTTTATTTTTTATTTTTTTGTTATATATTTTTTTTTGAAAATATCAAAAATCTGCAAAAAAAATAAAAATTCCACTGAAAATTATAACCATTTAGCACCTTGCATTTGTTTATGTGTTTATTGGCCATCATAAATTCTCTGATACTTTAATGATTGCAATTATTATTCAATTAACAATGGGGTTTGAGAAGGAGGTGCTCTTATCAAAATTTGAAAATCACAAGAACGCAAGCACAAATAAAGTTGTATTGCGGCAGGCGAGAGAGGGTGTGGAAAGAAGCGGGGACCATCTAGGCATATGACTTGATTTACGTGGGAAAGTAAAAAAATAAACAAGTTAAAAAGCAGTAAGTTCGGCCGGGCCGAACTTTTAATACCCTCCACCATTTACAACGAATTTGGAAATTTTCAAAAAAATAAAATCCTTAAAAAATTCTGTTAAAATTTTAAAAATACCGAATGTTGGGGTCTATACGACGTGGACATACATATGCATTGTTTGTCATAAGCCATTACCATATTCAAATTCGAAACTGGACCCGCACCGACAATTTTCTGTCACAGACTGTAGTTCCCATAACGAACTTCAAATATCAAATTTTAAACAATTCCGGTTAATAATGTCGCTAAAATCATCAAAATACCGAACATAGCGAGGTGCCGTTATATGGGGGCTATACGAAGACGTGGACCTGCACAGACAATTTTCAGTCTAAGGGTGTAGAATCCATTTGGAACTTAAAATACCAAATTTGAAACAATTCCAGTGAATAATGTCGCTAAAATCATCAAAATACCGAATAAAGAGAGGTACAGTTATATTGGGGCTATACGAAGACGTGGACCTGCAAAGACAATTTTCTGTCTTAGGGTGTAGTATCCATTTGGAACTTCAAATACCAGATTTGAAACAATTCCCGTGAATAATGTCGCTAAAATCATCAAA